GCCGTCGTGCGTTTCTGGCCCGCGCTGTGCCCCGCCGGCACCGCCCGGCAGCCCCAGCCCCGCAGCACCCCCCGCGCTCCGGCACCGCCCCCTTCGAGCTGTCACTGCAGTCCTGCCGCTCCTGAGCGGTGTGTAGCCAGCCTCAGCACGAGTCCTTGGCACCTTCTCGGCGCGATGTTCGCAGACCTTCCCGTACTCAAAGACAGCTCCCATCCTCTTAGAAAGCCGCTCCGTTTTCTTCTGATGTGGCTTCTAGAGTCTCTGCAGCCCTCTAGCACTACCGACAGCCCATCTTATGTAGGATCATGTGCTCCCAACAGATGCATAATAATTTATCACCTAATTTTGGCATTCCTTCAGTCCCATCCCCTGTAACATCACTGTTTCTACATCACAAGAATGTTACTGCTTACCTGGATACTGCTGCAGCGTGTCATACAGGCCTTAAGGTCCAAAACTTTTACTCCTTTCGTATGGTTGTTTTTCAGTCCCCCCAGTCCTGGGTAGTTTAGAGGTTCTTTTCTAAAGACACGCTTCATAACTGTGTGTCATTACATCCCCCATTTAGCAATTTAAGCAACTGGGAATAAAAATATGCTGCTTATTTCTATTTCTTATCCTTCCCCTAGTTCTTCAGTTCTCCTGTAGCCTGTTGGACATATTTTAGAGAACTCTGGAAACTCTTAAAGCTTCTGCAAAGCTCCCATATAGCCCTTCCTCTGCAGATAGTGCATAACTTTAGCAACATAATTAACTTGCTAAATTGGCTAATAGGCATATAAACTGAGACAGGAAAAAGTGTTGTCTTGCATCCTTTGATAAATGCCATAGTAGTGCCCAGTCTGGCATGACCTTGATATCCTATGGAAAGAAGTACCAGACTTTCTAACTAGTTTCTATGCCCTGCATGCTAATGAGGGACTGTCTTACTAAAACCTAAGTAACCTTCAAAGACCCCAGACCGTATCGACGCACATGTAACAGTCACTAAAATAAGTTTGCTGAAGTCCTCTTATGGCCTCTGATAGTCTTCATAAAAGTCTTAATCCTCTAGCTCTCTGTCTAGTGTATCTGTATTTTCAGAATATTGTTATTAAGGGCTAATGTTTCAATTAGATGTGGTATTTAGCTGAAATAGACCTTGTGGGACTGTTTTGTATGGTAGCAAGCAAAATGAATGCTCATTTGGGTAACTTGTTGGATTTACAATCTCTGGTGGTTACTTAGGACAATATTCTAAACACTGCTTTTTCAACTAATATATTTATTTAATTTTACTTTAGTTATAAAACAGTGTAATTTGCCAGGTATTCTGCTATATTTTGTTAGTAATGTATCTGTCATAAAAAATGAAGTAATTTGTATTCAACAGCTAAGCAGTAAAATGTGCGTAGGAACTAAAACTGTATACAGGTACATTTGTACAATTTTTCATGGGCTATGTGCACTGAATTTTCAAGTGCCCTGTTAATACTGTAAAAATGTGCCTCCGATAAGATAAACTTGTAACACAGTTTAATTTTTTTAGGTATCTAAAGGAATTTAGGACAGAGCAGTGCCCCCTATTTTTGCAGCACAAGTGTACCCAGCACAGACCATTTACCTGTTTTCATTGGCATTTCCTAAATCAGCGTCGTCGTAGACCTATACGAAGGCGTGATGGGACTTTTAACTACAGTCCAGATGTTTATTGTACAAAATATGATGAGACTACAGGAATCTGTCCAGATGGAGATGAGTAAGTGATTTCTTTCAGTCCTAGGTGTTTACAGTATTACCAATGACATTAAGGAAAGATGCTGATTTCTCCTTAGTGAAAGTGAGCAGTTGAATCCTGCTGCAGATTATTTGAAGACAGATTTCTATAAATGACTTGTCATTTTTTTGGCACATGTATACTTTTATATAAGCATGTATTGTGACTTGTCCTTAAAACATAGCATAAGAAACTGGTTTGCTGCTAGCATTGGTCCTTCACATTTGTGCTAGTGTTCTTGCTGCAACTTTTTTCTTTTTCCAGTTTTGCTTTCTTTTTCTCCTAGCTACTTTGAAATTGATGAGTAGGTGTACTAGTAGGGCCTGTATAGAGGTGACTTCAAGATATAAAACCCAAGTTTTGTGAAGATTGATGGGCTATAGAGGAGTATGACAGTTTTGTCATGCTTCCAGTGAGAAAAAGAAAGGAAGGAGTTCACTCTTAGTTGTCTGACTAGCCCGTTAATGTTTGCATTTCCTTGGACATGTGATTCTTCTAGGTTAAGGCTACAGAGGGTCTTCAGTGAATTTAGGGAGGGGTAGAAGCTTTGTGGAGATGAGAATGAGCAAATGGTATAGTATGGCAGGCAGGCATATATGGAGGAGCCTAGTATATTGTGGTCATATGTCAGAGAACCTACTTTCATCTGCAGTGATGGAAGCTAGGAAGGACTTCTGACAAAAAGATTTGCATGAAAGCAGTCAGGAAATATGTGGTTATGCTGGTCACTTGCTTTAAAAATTGAAGATTGTTTTAGTTCATTTAGTGTACAGCAGCAGTTTTCACAGAATAGGTGTCTTTTGTGTTACAGGCTGTAGTCACTGAAGAAAAGGTGGAGTTTTTTGCCAGTCTTTACAAACTGAACAACAGAGATAAGAGAAGGTAAACAACAAAATTATGCTAAGCAGCTTGACAATAATGAGTGCCATGCCTGTGCAATATAAACAGCAAAAAAAAGTCTCTGAGGGATGATTTGAAAGAAGACAATTAATTACCTTTTTAAGGTGTTTGTAAAGCACTCCTGCCAATCCTGGGGCAGTATGAGAAGTTCTTGTTTGAAAATCAACATTGGAGGATAATTGATGCTCATGTCATGGATTGGTTGGGGACAAAAATTGACCACTCATTTTTGAGTGATTCTGATTCTAAAGGAGGAAAAAGGAACCAAGTTTTAAAAGGGTTTTAGCTGGTCATGACTGAATTGTTAGAAGCAAGTAAGAGGAGATGTTTCAATAACTGAGATGTGAGGTGGAAACCTTTTTCTGCAGTTAGATTGGACATCTCGTCCCCCAGAACTGCTGAAGGTTACTCCCTGGTTGGGAGTCTAAATGACAAGCAGGTTTAGGGTAATGTATTGTCTGGCATAATGGAAGTGAGAAGGAGTTGGCAGAAACAACATCAGTAGTGCAATTCATACATCTGTTTTAGCATGTCATGCTTACATTTTGAGTTAAATTGATTAGCCAAGAGGTTATGGTTTTTAAGTTTGTGTTTTGTAGTGACATCACCCAGATGTAGAAGGATAAGAGCAGGGCCCAAGGTTGAAGTTCTGTGGGACTCCTCACCAGAAGCATAAGAGAATGTTGAGGTTGGAAGGTGTGCTACAGGAGAGATAGAGAGGAAAATTTAAACATAATTCCCATAAACTAAGGAGAATCATATTTCAAGGGGAGAAAAAGTAGGAAAGGCAGACAGTAAATTAAGAAAATTAAGCAAGATATGAATAGAGAAAATTGAGTCTGGTTTGTTTGTTTTTTTCTCCAGAAAATGGGGGATGGGCTGCCAAAGGAAGTGGTGGAGTCACCATCTGTGGAGGCATTAAAAAAAGTATAGACATGGCACTTCAGGACATGTTATAGTGGGCCTGGTGGTTTTTTTTGTTTGGTTTGTTGTTTTGTTTGGTTTTGTTGTTTTGTGTTTTTTTTTCCTCTGGCTGGATGGTTGGAGTCTGTGATGTTAGAAGTCTTTTCCATACGTAACCATTCTATGATTCTTTGACTCCACTGTGAGGAGAGATTATTTGAGACATTTGTGAGAGAAGTTTCAGCTGAACTGCTGAGGCCTTATAGATCTGATCCTGAGAACTGGTGGATAGAAATGGCAGCCAGCTGTTGTAAGCTGATAGCTGATTGAAGTTAAGGTAGAAGAGAAAAGGCATACAGGGCAAAGAATTGGGAAAGGCAAGAGAAATCAAAGGTAACTTGCTTAATGATAGAAGATGCCAAAATATGTCAGTTATGTCAGGGATAAAAAACTGAGGAGAACACAGTTTCTGAGGACATTGTTACAGTGTGGCAGCATTCGTATTTTGGAACTCAGCAAAAGAGGTTGTTTTTTTTTACCCTGTTTTGTCTTCTGCCTAAAATTTTAACCTTTTAGTTGGAGCAACTTCAAGTTCTAGAAATAGGCTATAAACAGTAGTTCCAGGACACCATTTTATGCTGTATGTGACAACAGACGGGTACTTCATGTCTTTGTTTTTCTGTTCTGCTCATCTGAGTGTACAGGTAGGTTAATACAGTTTGTGAGCTAATGGAGAATTAGAAAGAAAGGTAGAATGATGACACCCATAATTGTTCTCAGGAGCATACTTTCAATAGAGTTAAAGTAGAAATTGTTGGTTTCACCCAGGCTCATCTGTGATATTTCTTTCTAAAGTTCAACTTGGACTGAAAAGAGGCCCAAAATCTTAAAGCTGCTCAGAAAAGGGCTCTTCTAAAGGTAGCAAATTAAAACTGTGTTCCAGGGAAGAGCCTGTGAGAAAAACTAAATTACTTGCAGAGTTAGAGGCAGGTATTTTGAGCAGGGAGTAAAGTTCCTCCTAATTTCATGAGTGAGGGTTGAAGTGATACTCTTTTTTTAATCTGATGTGTTTTTCAACCATTGTAGTCAACTGATATCAGATTCTAAAATAGAAGATTATTTTGGGTATGTTAGAATCTGTAACGTAAGCCTGCTCTAAAAGGGAATGAATTACAGAAGCCAGCTACAGAAGAGCACTTCAAGTAATCATAGGAAAAACTGTGTCAGCACCTCAAGGTTGAACAGAAATAGAACTATGTAGTTGTTTTCATACACTTAAGAGCTAGTGTTAGCCTGGAACTGTTTTATTCTTAAAGGATATCTTTGGAATGTTTATGATGTGAATTAAGAACTGTGTGAAAAGGAAATAAACATCAGTAAGCAGTTAACCTTTTAAGTTTTTTGTGAACGTGTGTTGTTTCATGGTAGATAGATAGATCTACTTACTTTGAATAATGTAGCAATAGTTTTACTTTGTGAGATCTGGCTGCAGAAAAAATACCTGATTTCAATAGTTAAATGTTGTGTGTAGACTCGATTAGAACTTAGACATTCAGAGTAATGTTCTTTACTGATTCTTGGTGACTAAGTTAGGATTCAATACATTTTTTTTTAGCTGGGAGATTGCTGTAGAAATACAGGCCATGAAATAGATATGTTATTCTGCCTGGGAACTATTTTTTTTTTTTTAAGTAAAAATTTTGTTCCTAAGGAATAAGTGATGTTTGAACAAGTTTAGCACCAAAATATGGTACATAAGAACATAGATTCTTATGTATCATAAGTTTATCAGTTCGCAGCCATGTAATCTGATGGTAAGTAAAATCAGCCATTTTAAATCAAAATACTTTTCCTGTTTGAAGTTCTGTATTACAATGGTTTATGCTCCATTAAAATATTTAATTAATAAAGTGAAGGTAAGATATAACATCCCTCCAGTTCATTAAAGGTAGAACATCTGTTTAGTGCATATTTCAGTGCATTGGCTTAGTTTGATGCTGTGTGTGAATCAAGTACTGTTGACCATCTAAAAGCTGCTTTTATTAGGGGTCTTTGCCCTTCCGACTTATGATCCTACAATGAACTACAGTCAATTAAGATGTCAGTGGTTAACAGCATATATATTACTGTGCTATTTTATGAATAACACATTTTAATATAAAATACATATATGCAAAATTAGTGCCATCATTTTTGCTCTTTGAGGTTTGTGTGCTGTTTAGTCCCTCTGAGTCACCTTTAGAACTAGCTCTTTATCTAGTTCTTTACAAGTCTTAGTCAAAATTCCAGTACCAATCCATCCCAGTCACACTTGATAGCCTAATTAAAGCATGCTGTTAGTTTCTGGAAGAGGGTTTCAACTGTTATGGGAGGCAGGTAGCAAAATATGCAGTAGGCAAGCTGTATTTTCAGTAAAATTCAGGTTTCATTAGCTATTGATGGCACAAGTGTTGAGTCTTAGAGCAAGCAAAACTAGGTTTAATTTAGCAGAAGTCTTGTGATACAGTTTATATTTTGTTCCCAGCTTGTTTTTGGATTCTGTGTTGTCTTTTTATGGAAAAAATTGTGACCTGAGTATCTTTTCCTCTCTCACATTGCATCCAAGTTGTGCCTAGCTTGTCTGACAGTGACAAGCTATGTCTATATTGCATTGAATTTACCTATTTTAAACAGCAATTTAAAAATAACTGAAGGCTTTAACTTTTCTTTTTTAATTATTCTTTCTTTTGTGACCTCCTCTGATAAGGCAATTTTGCTGGGGAAAAAAATGCAGATATCTAAGCAAAAATGTTTGCCCCTTGGAAAGGAGCCATGGAATTAGAGACAAGCAATGAGATATAAACGCTTGTACACTTCTTGGATGAAAGATAAGACATTTAATTCCTGTTCCCAACAGGAATAAGCAAACTTCAGTGGATAACAAATGGAGGCATGCACATTATGCATAAGAATATGTCAGAGTATTCTCACCTTTGTGAAGTGTGCATATATGAGTGAAAAAATAGAGTTTGTAATTGATAGTCTGCTGAGAAAATTGAGACATTTGACCCTTGTAAAGATCCTGCTAGTGATGGGACCATTATCAATAATAAAAATATAGCTCAGTTTGCATTTCTTTTTGTTTAGAGTTCTGTACAGGACTAGTACTGGCAAAAGTATTTGATTGACTCTAATGGGTTTCCTGATTTTTCAATTCCAGTGCTAGCAGAACCGAAGGGGTTGTGTCAGCGCTATTCACACATCACAACATTCAGCTGAGGCACTGTAATGGGTCCAACAAGGATTATATCCTGTCTGTCTGTCAGATCTGAGCATAGGCTGTGCTCTGTCTTACACTGACAAAATGACTTGTAGCACTGAATTTGGTACACTTAGTCTTCCCAGGAATTAATTCTGTTGGGATTTAAAGAGATAGGTATAACACACCAGCTGCATCCCATTTATCTTGTTTAACAGAATGCTAGTTTAAAATTCCTACAAGGAAAGCAACTTGATTCTCAGAAATCATAAATAGTATCACCTTGAAGTCAGCACAAGCTGCAGGTGCTTAACACAGTAGAAAAAAAATGTATTATTTTGATGTAAATATATAAATACCAGAGTTGCAAATGTTTGCACGTAATTGCATTTGTTTAGTCTGGTTTCTAATTAACACTTTTAGAATATAGTAAATAAAGCTTAAGCCAGCATAAATCCTTATGAGTGTTAAGGTCTATTTAGTGCTTTGCGGTTCTCCCTGCATGCAAAGCAAAATAATTCTGTTGGACTTTTCACTTGTTCTGTCTCACTCTCTAAGCTTCCCTACTTTAGGGAAAGTAGTTTTTGGAGATTAGTATTTTTTTCAAAACCAGCAGAGACTGAAATTAATTACACTGAAATAAATGGAGAGAGAACAGTTATCCCAGTAGGGTTTTGTTTTTTGTTTTTAAGAATTTGTTTTATTTTGGTTTTTGAAATTATAATCCATACGTGATTTTAGCCATTTTAAAGTATAGTCAGTATCTTTACTTAGTTGTGTATGAGAGAGTATTAGTATATGTACAAAGATGTATTACTGATGTGAAAATTGTTCTCTTCCTTCTAACAGAAGAATGGAATGGAGTGAAATGGAATGGATTTCCCCTCAGTGTTCAATAAGTTCTATGTCTATAAAGAGCAGGCAGGAAAAAAATTATCATGTTTCAAGTACGCCTTGATTTTAGATCATGATAACATGAACAAAAAAATAATCTTGTACCTCTAAATGTGGAAATTATTTGAGCTTGTGTCAGTATGGAAGATGTCATTCCTTAGCTCAGATGATGTTATTGCTTACAGAGGTGCTTATTAGTTTTATTCATAATATCTCTGTGAGCCAGTGTGCTATATAATCATATAACTTTAGCAGAAACTAAGAAATAGATTAGTGGTTTTCATTTTGAAGCTGATCTGTGATGGTGGTTTGTTTGGGTCAATTTTCCTTTGAAGAATCCTGCAAAGTCACTTGTTTATAAGTTGATAAGAGATGTAGCACAATTCAGAATTAAATTATTAAAAACAAAACTCAAAGCAATGCTCTAACTTTTCTCTTTCTATTCTGTAGTTGCCCTTACCTGCATCGAACAACAGGGGATACAGAAAGGAAGTATCATCTCAGGTATTACAAGACTGGAACATGCATTCATGAAACAGAGGCCCGGGGTCACTGTATGAAGAATGGAATTCACTGTGCCTTTGCTCATGGTCCACATGACCTGAGAACACCAGTTTATGATATAAGGTAGCCTTGTTTCAAATTATTCAGCCTAATTAGCGGGAAATGCCACATCTATTGTCACCACATACCAGAAAATGCAGTATACTTTGCATGAAAAATATCTTTAGTTTCGTGACATGGGAATGCAATTCACTGGGCATCGCAATAGCAGATAGAAGCATGCTGGGAAATACAAGTACTAAGGTTTTGTAACTTGAAATTTCAAGACCTGAGTATGTAATTGTTATGACTGATGGAAGACTCAGATACTCTGCCTTTTGTCATTTACGCCATGTAAATTTGCATGTGGTTTTTGCATTCATAAATTTATGATTTTGTTAAGCCAGCTTTTGGTTCCCAGCTTGTATGTTTGGCATTTTGCCTACTGACATTCCTGTTTTTTAAATTATGTTGCGTTTTTTTATCTATAAGTTATCAGTATTATTTTCTCCCTCTCTAATGTGTAATGAAGTTACGTCGAAATAAGGTGCTTTGTGAATCAGGGTAGTGGTAGGTAGGAGTTTTAGCTGTGGCCGAAGCTGGGAGATAAGCAGGTTGTTGGGGGGGTGTTATAAAAGGGTGGAAGGGGAACTCTTGCTATAGAAGGTGATCTGTATATACTCAGTAGGAAAGGATACCAGTTCATAGAAAACTTTGAAGCCTTGGAGGTCACAAGTATCTTTTACTGGATGCTGGAAGAGCATTCTGGGGAAGTATCACTATATGCTTGCCCTATTCTTATACTCTTCCCTAGATATCTGCTATTGGCCACTGTTGGAGACAGGATTCCAGGCTAGATGAACCTTTGATCTGAGCTGGTATGGCTGCTATCTTACATTCTTACTTTTATTATCCCTTATTCCCAGCCATCTGTTGGGAGATGATAGCTTTCACTTCACAATTATTTAAATGAAGTTAGTGCCTTTTCAGTAATTCCATAATTATTTAAATTCATATTTTGCCACAGAATTTTGCCTCTGCTGCATTGCCAGGTCATATACTGTTTACTGATACATAGCTTTTCTTTCCAGAAGATTTTCTTCAGTTAGCTAGCTGATGCTTCTTCTGCAAGACATCTGTTAATTTTTTTTTCTTCATTTTAAATTTCCTCCTTTATCATACGCAGCATAATGTCAGTCTGGATACAGAATATTTAGTGTCTTTGTAGTGTTTTGTATTGTATTAAAATGAGGAACCAATGTATAGCAAGACTGAAACCAAGCTGTGTACTCTGAACGCCCTTTAATGTGTTACGTGATTGCTTATTGGTGATTTGCCAGCCATAGAGCATGAGAAGGAGCTGAAGACATTGATGGTAGGAGTCTATGTTTAACAGCATTTTATGCCTACAAGTAGGCAGCCTCAAACTTCTTTGGTGTTTGTGAAAAACGTTGCTTCTCCTGATTTCAGGCATAAAGCATTCTTAAGGAAGTCAATTTGGTCTTATTTGTACTTTGATGGTCTTTTCCCACTACGATAGACACAGATCTTAGGATCATAATTTTATGTAAGGAGCAGAGAAATTACAATATTATCACTGATGCAGGTGTTAACTTTCTTCCCCTTAATAACCTTGTTCTTCTACACATCCAGCTTAAAAAAAAAGCACTCTCTGGGAATTACCTGTTTTCCTTTTCATCACCTGCACATTTTCTGAATTTGTAAAAGACTGAAAGGTTTTAGACTTGGCTTTGGGTCTGTCTTGTGTTCCTTTCTCTTTGGGATTTTCTTTCTTGAAGTATACTTGGGATCTGGGAAGTTCTTGAAATATAGGTAGATGATACTGTAATTAGTTACATTATAAACCACCACACCTTTCAAACTCCTCAGAGATCCTGAGTAGGAGTATTTTGTTATAAGAGCTAAACTCCTGGAGTATTTGTGTCTAGAGAAAGCAGTGCCAATGCTTTGATTCTCAGAATACTATAGATACACCTCTAGTATTTGATTCCTCACCTTGCTTCTCTGTTGCTTCAAAGTCTGCCCAATATAATTATGCTGTAGTATCTTTTTTTAAAAAACATTTTGTGTTATTTACCGTTGTTGAACCTCTGTGCAGCTTAGTTTCACTAAAATGGTACTATAAAATTCTGTCAGATTTTTTGGTAGAGGTTTCATACGATTAATACAATAACTTCTAGTTTGGTCATAGTCAGTCTGCTCTTTCGGCAAGCTTGTGGTTGCTTACTTGCAGAGCGGTTGTAAATTCTTTCAGAAGAGGTTACAAATCCTCATAATGTTGCTTGTTACTAGGTCTTCTGAATGTCTTCACAACCTTTATTGACAAAATCTTACAGTGAGCCAAAAGTACCTTGGCTACTTTTAGATGATGTAGGGTTCAATAGCTGTAGTTTGTGCCTTCCTTCAGTCATAACTTTTCCAAGTCTTATGGTGTTTAATTCTCCTTTGTAAAGAAGTTCTGTATTTCTGATCACCCATATTGCCCTTTCTATATCTTTTTGGTTGTACCATGTCCTATGTGACAGTGGAATATTATAAATTAACAGCATACTCAAAATGTCAGCATACAGATGAGCATTGCAGGTACAAACATTGTCTGTACTTAATGCCAGCATTCTTTCATGTGTTCTTTTTTTATTTGTATGACATGGTTATTCTTTATGATTGTTTGCCAGCTTTGGCATGAGTTATTGTTTGAAATACAGTAAATTTCTAATTTATTTTTTTTTACAATTTAGGCTTGTTAAGAACTGGGTTAATTGACATACTTCTGATAGACTTGGACAGGATTACATCTGCGACACATAGGGTTACTGTACCTATACAGTTTAGAAGTGTTACTATCTTTTCCCCATTCCAGAGAACTTCAGGCACATGAAACCTTACAGAATGGGCAGCTAGGATGCGGTGAAGGCATTCCAGATCTACAGCCAGGAATTTTAGCAAGCCAGGCAATGATTGAGAAGATCCTTAGTGAAGATCCAAGATGGCAGGGTAATGTTACCCTGTCTCCTTTCTCTTTCTGTATTGATGTTTGATCCAATTTGTTGATCCTCGGTCTTTCATATGGGAGAAGTACAAAAGGCCTTTTATCAGAGTAAAGAATTGGTTGATATAAGTAATATGGATATTTGTGAACAAGTTACACAGATTGTATTTTGAAAATGTTTTGTTTTGAAGCTATTTAATAGGTCTTTTTCAGTTTACTTGAACACAAGTGTTGCTAATTTGTGTGAAAAAGTATGAGCTCTGTCTTGTGCTGAGTAGTAGTAATGATTAGTCTTCCTTTTTTGAGTCATTGTTGGGCTAGTTAATGGACTTTTATTCTTGGCTGAGCCTGACTAATAGGAATGAAGTAGAATATTAAACAGAAAATCAGAATAGTATATTAAAATACAATAATGTCTTGAAAGTGTTACATTAGGTCTCTTAAAGTAAGCTGAAATGCCCTGGTTTTCTTAAGGCTTTCAAACTTGGATTTCATGTTCTTGGTTAAGAGTTGCTTATTATGTAGCCAAATATGTTAGTATCAGTTGGATTTTGTTAGAGCTCTTGCCCAAATTTTACTTGGGAAAAGGCTGCTGGGTACAATTACTTCCACAAAATTCATGTGGGGACAGTAACACAGGAAGAGGTCACATGAAGATGCTGTCTCTTAGGAGTTCAAAGGGAGATAATTGTGTGATCCTTGTCCCCTCTATGTTTTTAAAATCTACCATAGGGTGAATTCCAACCATTTAAGTACTAATAATGTGTAGAGCTTAATTGTCAGCTCTAGATCAAAAAGTACTGTATGTTTGACAAAAAAAAGACGGCAGAATTGACCAACTACAAGAATTTCTGTCTCATTCCTTGAATTGTGACATGTCTGTATTATATGATGTTGTATAACTTTTGTCAATCCCTGTAAATATAGAAAGATTGCGGAGAGCTTTGAGGATTGAAAATCATCCAACTAGTGATTTCAGCATTATTTTCCTAAACCTTTAAGGGAACTGTCAGAAAGGACTGAACAAAGAGTAAACTCTGTGTGATACTCTTAATAATGATCTTTGCTGTTGGAAAGTACATCATTAATGATTCTGAGAACATTTCTTCAATTAGTTTTCCACAAATCCTACAAGAGTCTTGTAATGTGCAGTTTATTTTTGAGAACATCTCCAGCTAGAAGGTTTGCTAAATTCAAGATACATGACACTGACTGCTTCTGTTTTGCCTACATCCATGTGCTCACCTTAGGAAGAAGATTGATTGGTTTGACGTGATTTACTCCTCACAAACAATGCTTGCTGTTAGTTAAATTGTACTTTATGATGTATTTACGAGCTCCATTGTTTTTTTAATTTTTCTGTTTCTAGACAGAACCTTGTATGTTATCTAGATCCTCCTTCCTGACACCTAAGATGTAGAGACAGAGGGAAAGGTACAGAAGAGGGTCTAGAATTTGTCCAGGCAGTTTTACTGAACAGCCTTTACATGCCCTAACATGAAAGCAATTTTGGTGAAATAAGGACTGTCAAGATGAAACTCAGGAGAAATCCAGATATAAAATTGCATCAGTTTTTAGTGTTTGTCTGACTAAAATGAAGAATGTTGTTTCAGGTGTTCATTTCCACATAGTTTATCTACCTACAGATTACTAGTGCTTGATTGTGTACTTTATTGTAATATTGCTGTTGAATATAAAAGCAATGAAAATGGCTTTGCATGTAAATGTGTTAGACCTTTATTTTAAGAAATGCAAGACTCAGTCTAGCTTTATAGAAATTGGTTGGTGGGTGTTTGTGGATCATAATTTTTTTACAAAAAGTAGTGTGATACCTAAGCGCACTAAAGACACTATGCATGCAAAAAGTAGTTGTTTATTTCTCTTAATTTGTGACCTGTTTACAGACACAAATTTTGTATTAGCTGGCTACAAGACAGAACAGTGTTCCAAGCCACCCAGACTCTGCCGCCAGGGTTATGCATGTCCACACTATCACAATAGTCGAGATAGAAGACGAAGTCCCAGAAAATTCAAATACAGGTACATAGATACATCTTAAGAATAGACTGGTTGGTTGGTCAGACAGTTGTAATGGACTGATGTGTTTGGATTCTTCTATAATGTGATTGGATATTCCTAAGGAAGTAAAAACACATCTTTCCCTCTAGCCTTGCTTAATTTTTTTTTTTGGGAAAAACCCTTCTGTTCAGAATGATCACAGTTCTGTAGACAAAAACTATGAAGTTGTAATGTAAATATCTTTCTTCCTTGTGAATGAAAACAATTTATATAATTCATAGCAAAAATTGGAATCACTAAGTCAAGCCTTCTTTTTTTATGAAAAGATAAATTATAATTTCTATCCTTTTGCTGGATTTCTTCTGTAATTTTTCATTTCTGAGAAATTTTTATCACAAAAAATTAATGCATTGCCTCTCTTACTTTTCATCACTACATCATCATTACATCATTTTACATCCTTCTCCATATACTGATTTCTTCATTGTTTTTAGTGGGGTTTTTTTTTGCGGTGAGACAGGGTTTAGAACTTACGGGCTTTGCTTGACATTCTAAGGACTGTGGATAAATGTAATTAGAGAGGATATATATATATATGTAATCCTACTAGCTCATCTTTCTGTCAAAAATTTCCAAAAAGTTGAGTCCCTCAGAATTTGTAACTTAATAGGTCCCAGAATCTGAGATTCTGAGATTTAGTGGGAAATTGTTTGAAATTTCTGCTAGGAAGCAGATAGAAATGTGCTCCGGACATAACTTTTTTCTAGGTCCACTCCTTGCCCCAGTGTAAAACATGCAGATGAATGGGGTGAACCTTCAAGGTGTGAAAGTGGGGATAGCTGTCAATATTGTCATTCTCGTACAGAGCAACAGTTTCATCCTGAGGTAAGAACTATGTTTCTACTTACTTTTAGTGATTTCTAAGTTGTTATGGATTAGCTTATTGATTAAGTATATTTTGTAATGAAAAAATGTGTGACATTTCATTCAGCAGTTCTAGTTGTTCAGATATTTGCTTTAGGAAAACAAGTTTGCTAAAAAATAGTTATTTGTACTGCTGTGGTTTTCACTGGTAGGCATTTTTGTTTGTACTGCTTATGAACAATTAATTTTCTCTGGATTTGGGCATAAATAAATGTGTCTGCTTTTTTACCTGGCTCATCCAGTTGTGTGGTTAGAATGGAAATTCCATACAGCTGTTGTACCTCTGACCTGAGGCTTCAAATCACCAATTTTTTTTTTTTGGTTCATAATGAAATACAATCTATTTACTAGTGGTAACAGTTGCTAGTAAATACTCAGTATTTTCCATTTAAAGGTTTTAACATTTTCTAACTATTTTGTCATTATGTAATAAATGTTTAGATTAACCACCCTTCTGTTTTGTTTAGATATATAAATCTACAAAGTGCAATGACATGCGCCAAACAGGTTACTGTCCACGTGGTCCATTTTGTGCATTTGCACATGTTGAAAGTAAGAGAACTGTTATTTTGTGTCAGTGTTCATAAAAGTGAACCATAATTTTTAAGCAACTTAATATAATTGATTTTGGTGCATACATGGTACTTGATGTCACTTGGTTTTAGAAATTAATTCCATGTTTTCTAATACCTTATATTGCTATGGGAACTTGCTGCATTTGCATCAAATTTGCATCAGCAAATCAGTTTGCTGCGTCAGTAAAACAAGAGGTACTTTTCCTTACAGATACAGCTTGTCCCTGTAAGTGTTTGAGCTTGATTGGACAATTTTCTACACATATGCTTGACTTTAAACTGTATCAGTTGTCCTTTTAAAACCTATAGTAAACTTCTCAGGTGAAACTTAAAACATCCTTGCAAGTATTTGCAGAACTAGGACCTTAGCTAAACTGAAAAAGAACACAGAGAAAATCGTCAGCTGTCCTCTTTCCTCTGTAGCCCACTAATATATTCACTGCACTCAAACTGTTAAATACAGAAAAAAGGAAGAGGGACCATTGTTTTCCCAAGAGATCACCCCATTCTTCAGTATGCATCTACATGGATTAATTCTGCATATGCATCATGATGTGATATTTTGAATATGTGTATCAACTTCAGTTACACCCACACACTTCCTGCTCTCCAGAATGTGAAATGTGCAGTTGCCTCAACAGCTTTTCCTATCTTCTTTTCAGTTGTGATGCAAGGCAGAACTTGAAGCATTTCTGTGTAACTGGTTTCTTAGAGTTGATAAATCTTCTTTTTTGAGTATGTCTTTTTTGCTTATGTAATCAGTAAAACCTCATATTTATTCTTCAAAAAGAAAGAGAAAAAAAAGTTCTGTGCCTATCTTTTTGCCTTCTGATTCTGTAGCTGGAAAGAGGGATGAGAGATGCTTCTGAGTTTGGAAAGCTCCACATTTCTGTAATTCAGTAGTACTTATGATTCTTTAGTGGTAAGCAATGGCAGTGTCCTCTTTGTCTAATGGTCTAGGGCAAATGTGGTACACCCATTTATTGTGTTACTTCCTTACCTAAAAGACTTTCAATGAATAATCATTCTTGCCCACAGCTCTTATTTCTGAATATTTGTGGAATGGCCAGCTTGTCTTCACTAAGGGCAAATCATGTCTGACCAATTTGGAGGCCTTCTATGACAAGGTTAGAGAGATGGTAGACAACAGGAAAGCAACTGATGTTGCCTACCTGGATTTGTGCAAAGCATTTGACACTGTCCCACACGACATCCTGGTCTCCAAACTGACAAGACATGGATTTGACAGATGGACCACTTGGTGGATAAGTAATTGGCTGGATGGCCACACCCAGAGGGTTGTGATCAATGGTTCAGTGTCCAAGTGGAGGCAAGAGACAAGTGGTGTTCGTCAGGGGTCAGTATTGGGACCAGTGTTGTTCAGAATCTTTGTTGGAGACATGGACAGTGGGATTGAGTGTCTCCTCAGCAAGTTTGTTGATGATACCAAGCTGTGTGGGGTAGTTGACACCATAGATGGAAGGGGTGTCATCCAGAGGGACCCTGACAGGCTGGAGAGGTGGGCCAGTGACCACCTCAATGGATATTTGTGACATGCTGCAAAAGTCCTGTGGGAGAAGACTATTTTTTCTTGGTTTTCTCCCTTAGAGCATACTGAAGCATAGAATGATAGAATATATTGGGACCTATAAAGGTCATCTAATCCAACCCCCCTGCAATAAGCAGGAACATCTCCAACTAGAGCAGACTGCTCAGAGTCCCATTAGGCCTGACACTGAATGTCTCCAGGGCTGAGGTCCCCACGACCTCCTCTCTGTGTGCCTTAGCATGTCTCCTGGGAGGATCTGTTCCATGATGAATGCTGCCTCCCATCTTGCCTCTGCAACATGGAGAGTGTGCAGGATAAACTCAGCAGAGCACTTGGAGACTGGAATTCTTTTGAGACCCCACAGTGTCACAGACACACTTTTGGGTGTGTTGATCATTATTGTCTTTATTCTTCCATTTGAGTCTTGATTCCTGTGAGAGGAATCATTCTTGCAGGAAGCTCATTGAAAATAAACAAGATTTGCATCACTAATACTGCTAAGTATTGTGCAGGCTAAAGATGAAGAGGACTGAAGGAAAGTCAAAACTTAATAATTTGATAATGTTACTCTGCTTAAGGAATATCTTTCTAATCTGTTGCTAATCCTTCTACCCTGACCACGTTCTACTCTGTAGTATGAATTCTTGTGCTCTTTAAAAATCTCCAGAACTCTGAAACTTTGAACATGTTAGCAGTTAATTGAGAACCAGCAGCTTAATTTTCTTTCCACATAGTTGCATTAGATTGGATTTTGTATTCATCAGGAGAGACTTATATGGCTCAACCAACAGGTTCTACAACTCTGGCTTGCATCATCTGGAATGAAGACTGTGTAAGAAGCAAATCTCAACAAACAAACTTGAGATCTTGAAAGAGT